TTTTCCCAGATCCTCTTTTGTTGCCAGTTCAGAGACTCCAGGTAGTTGAGTATCAGATTGTTCCATCTCGTTTCCCTTTGGGGTTGCTGAAGGTGATCCAGAAGTCTGTTTTTGAGGCTTGTTTATGTGTCTTCTCATTTCCACGGGGCGTGGCGGGGGGGGGGTTCTTCTGGCACCCGAGCGCCTCACCTTCTCTGCCCTAGGAGCTTGGGATGGCAGCAGGGACCAACCTCATTTTCTGAGGGAATTATTATGAAAACAGGGGAAGAATCAAAATTTAGTGTTTTCTTGTCCTTTTTTCACTTAGGTTTTTCATGGCAGCTGCAGAAACAGGACTGAGAGTTTCCTGGTGTTTCCATACTTCTTTTGTTGTGCCTTCTGGCTGCCTAGAGAATAAAAATGTATTTTCAAAAATAATAGTAATAGCCGTCATAAGTGTTATTTATTAAGCACTTATATTTGTCCTCATTTTACCAGGGTGGTGTTTTCATTCATTTTGTACAGAAGGAGACACTGAGGCTGAAAAGATAAAGAACAGATATTAAATTAATCAGACTCTATAGGATGAGATGAGCTCAGCTCTTTATTTCCTTCCCCATCTTGTGTGTCCTTGTCGAACCACACCCTTCTTCAGCTTTGTCCCATAAAGGGACTCACACTCGGACCCCTTCATGGGGCTGGTGATACAGAAGGAGCAGCCATTGCCAGGCTTGCTAGAACTCCATAACTGGCAGCTACAGTGGTCCCTCAGTTCTGTGGAAGTCAGTTTCAGGATCCCTGAGGATACCCAAACCCAAGGATGCTCAAGTCCTTCATATGAAATAGTGTAGTATTGGCCTGTAACCTCCTCTCATATACTTTAAATCATCTGTAGGTTGCTTACTCATGTAATGCCTTATACAGTGCAAAAGCTATTTAAATAGTTGTTACACTGTATTATTTAGGGATAAAGGCAAGAAAACCTGTTCATGTTCAGTACAGTTACAATTTTTAAAAATTTGTTTTCTGTCAGCAGATGGTTGAATCCAAGGATAGGGAACCCCTCATACAGAGGGCTGGCTCTGCAGCTTCCATCCCTTTAAGATCTTGTGGACTGCTGGTGTCTTGATGGCTTGACTTATTCAGGTGACACTCAAGATGATTGTGTTTGGTGGATGTTAGGGAGCAAGTTAAATATTTACAAATGGAAATATGTGTGATATTTGTCACCTGGTGACTTTTATAGATAGTTCTAGGTAATAATTAGCAATTTGCAGGTACCCATTAGGACCCATACAGGGCAAACTGCCTTCACTCATTTGTGTGCCTTTAGGACCAGGGAGAGCTGCCAGCTCAATGGACCTGTGTCTGTGTCTCTTGAAATTAATTAGCAACTAAGAACTTTCTCTACACCAGGTGATCTGTTTCTAACCCCAAACTGATGCAACGGAATCTCCTAGATTCAGGAAAACATCCTTTTAGCCTCTCCCTTTCAAATTCAGGGCTTAGAATAGGTCAGACCTACTGGCCTATTTATGGAAAGAAGGAAAATATGGAGTAAATGTCTAAGTACCTGCAAGAAGAACTCTAGATGGGACTAAAGTCTGGTTAAATACAGATCTGTGTGTGTTCGTTTTTCAGCAGCATCTCCTGTGAATGATCCAAAGCAAAATGATTCCAGGGCCCCATTTCATCTTCACTGGCAATAGGAAGGAGAAATGCAGTAGCCCCTTGTCACAGATAGAGCTCTAGGATGTACCCACCACATCTTTGGTGCAGCCTGCCATGGTGCAAATGTGTCCCCTGTATTTACCTCTACAAATGCTTTCCCTGGGTGACAAAGTTTTCAGAGGAGACTGGCAGGAAACAGTTAATACAAAGAGTGAGACCTGTCCATAATTTACCCCCTTTGCCCAGATTAGTGGGAACTCCTTGGTACAAAAAGAGGAACTTTGACCTCAGGCCTAGATTCCACCTGGGCCCCCCCCCCCCCCGTCTCACTACCTGGCTGGGCAGGTGTGCTCACCCTCAAGACAGGAGGCAGAGGCTAAGGACATTACCCTCTCAGCTTTCTTAGGATTCATAGATGTCTATGGCTGGGAATGTAGCTCAGTGGTGGCTGTGCTTAGCATGCAGGAGGACCTGGACTCAATACCTAGTACTACCCCCTCCCCTGCATAATAATGTCCAGGAAGGTTCCTTATCGTGTCACTCGCTTGCTATCAGTGGTGGTCATTGCAATCATGTTTCTTGTCTATAAATGCTCCTTTGTAGCCAAACCCTCTCCCCCTGAGGTGTCAGGCCCTATGGCGAGGGCCACACCTGGCCAGACAGTGAGCTTCACCTGCAAGTCCCATGGCTTCTCCCCCCGAGACATCAGCCTGAAGTGGTTCAAAAATGGGAACGAGCTCTCCGACTCCCAGACCAGCGTGGATCCCATGGGAAAAATCATCTCCTACAGCATCTCCAGCACAGCCAAGGTGGTGCTGGCTCCTGGGGACGTTCACTCGCAGGTCATCTGTGAAGTGGCCCATGTCACCTTGCAGGGGGGCCCTCTTCGTGGGATTGCCAACTTATCAGCCAGCATCCGAGGTAGATGACCCTGACCCTGACCCAAGCCCAAGTCCACTCCTGCCTACCAAGCATGATCCTCCCAGCTGACTTTTGCTCCTGGGCCTGAATGGCCTAGAATCTCATTCCCAGCAGGCCTACCCACCTACTGTGTGCATGTGGACTCCTCTATGATGAGCACTGTGCTAGTAGTTGCTTTTATTTTACCAACAGTAACCGTAATTGTCAGGCACCTACTATGATCAAAGTCCCTTTATGCTCAGTGATTAAATTTATTCTGCTCCAGTCATTGCATTCTGACTGCATGTCAGGAGTTGCACTTGTTGATTTCACTCATTATTAGCCTTATAAGAACCACCAGTCCTTGAGCACCTACTGTGTGGTAGGTGCTGTGCTTAGTGACTTCATTCATGCACAAACCCTCAATGTTTGAGCCCCTGCTGCATGCCTAGCACGGTCCCAGGTGGTGCCCTTGCCTTTCTGGTGGGAGCTCAGCTCTCCAGCCCTTCCTCTGTGACCTGTCCATGCCATAAGGTCAGAGCTTCTGCCTGTGCTGTTTCAGTTCCACCCACCTTGGAGGTCACCCAGCAGCCCACAATGACAGAGAACCAGGTGAACGTCACCTGCCAGGTGAAGAAGTTCTACCCCCAAAGACTGAAGCTCACCTGGTTGGAGAATGGAAATGTGTCCCGGACAGAAACGTCCTCTAATGTCACAGAGAACAAGGATGGGACCTACAACTGGACAAGCTGGATCTTGGTGAATTTATCTACTCACAGGGAGAAAGTAGTGCTCACCTGCCAGGTGGAGCATGATGGGCAGCCAGCAGCCACCAGAAACCTGACCGTGCCAGTCTCTGTCCCCACAAAAAAGGAGGGCATGGATACCACCCCTGGTGAGGCCACCTCTCTAGCTAACTAGCTGTTTTTAGACCTTATCTTAATTTTTAAAAAAAATGTTAAAAATAATATTCAGGCTTAGTATAGAATAATATAGAAGTCTATAAGCATAAAGTACAACTTTAACATCAGCTTCCCTCCCCCGAACCTCACACTCCAAGAGTCTCTACTGTAGAGTTTGATAACATATCTCAGTGGATTTTTGATGCAAATAGATATTAAGGAAGAAAAGAGAGGGAGGGGACCATCCTTTCATGGTGTCCTGCCTGTTTCCTTCCCCAGTGTAACAGTGGTTACATTGTTGTTCCTGTGCCCCCACCCCACCTCCCTCACTCCTAGACTCTGCCTGATATCTAGCTGATATTGTGTGCCTGCCACTGGGTAGGGGCATTCAGGATGCTTGCAGATGGACTCAGGGACAGTTGATGCTGTAGTGAACTTCCTTGCATATATTCTGCCCACATGCGGCTGTTTCCTGGGACAGTCTCTCAGCTGAAGAGTATTTCAAGGCCAAAAACACAATCATTAAGGACAAAGGTCGCACTTCTGTTCTCCTAAACACATAGTAGGGACTCAACAAATACTTCAGGGGTTTTTTTTTGGGGGGTGGGTACCAGGGATCGAACTCAGGACCTTGCACTTGCGAGGTAAGCGCCTGAACCCCTGAGCTAAATCCCCGGCCCATCAGCAAATACTTTTAGAAGGGATCAGAGAGTCAGTTGGGTAACTGGTTATTTAGGTAGTCTCAGAGTTAACCAATGGGGTAGAGATTATTTTTGGCCTCAGTAACACCAGAGGAAGCCAACACAGGAGAGAGGCTCAGCTGCTTTGCCCAAAATCAGACATCTACTTAAGGCATTGATTTGAATCCATGTGTCTGTGGCTCTGACCCCTGCCCCTGACTAACCATGGTGCCCTAGGACCTTCAGACTGCCCTGGGCCCCCACGGCACTGTGTCCTTCTTGTGTGTCCTAATGGAGAGCTCCTAGGCTGTGGGCTAGGTCCCAGGCACAGATGAGTGGTCAGCCCCTGAGCATCTACAGTGTCCCCTAGCCAGCTGGCATATCCATGCTTTTCCTGCTCGACCCTAGTGCCTTGTTTGACAGCCAGTTGCTGATTGAGAGTCTGAGATGGGTCTTTGCTGCTGTTGTGGCCCCTCTTGTTACTCCAGGTTAGGAGTGTGCTTCTATTCTGTGGGAATGAGGTAACTGCACTCATCTTGCAGCTGGCATCCTCTATGTATGTCAGCAGCACGCATTTTCCCTCCTGGCCCCCAGCATAGCGTTTATACCACTCCTGAATGACCGTCATGGGCAAGTGTGTGCAGACCCTATATGTGCTCATGTGGCTGGAGTCATCTGAGAAGGCCCAGCCAGATGTTCTCCATCAATAGGAGAAGCAGTCATCTGCGTAGCAGTGGGAAGAGGAGTGAGCTTTTATTTTTCTCTTTTTAATCTACTTACGTGAAGCCTCTCTTCCGTGCAGAGAAAAATGCCAAAGACAACTGGAACATCTTTATCGTGGTGGGTGTGGTGTGCACCTTGTTGGTAGTCCTGCTGATGGCGACCCTCTACCTCCTCCGAATCAGGCAGAAAAAAGGTGAGTGGACTCTCTGCTTCCTCCCTAAGGTTTGCCCCTGGGTTGTCTTTCCCAGAGGGTGTGGCTACTAGGTGCCCTAGGCAGCAGTGACTTACCTTGACAGAAATGCCAGAGGCAGCAGTGCTGGACTGGTGAGCAGCTTCACCATGGAGTTTGGAGGGTCAACCATGGAGTTGCCCTTGTGATTGCAGAATGGCCATCACTGCCCCAGGCCTCGTGTCTTCCTGGGACCACTACTGAGGTGGGAGGAGGGAAGATGCCAGTGTGGAAAGAGGGGACTTAGAGACTCTTATTATGGGCTTCAGGGAGGAGCAGTCTTTTCCAGGAGCTGCTTAGGCTTCTGGTTTGTTCCATGTCCAGCCCTGGGTAAGAGGTTAGAAGAGAAAGGACTAATAGTCCCACCTACCTCTAGGGCAGGGGAGCTAGAGGCTGCATGGATACTGTGTGTGAAATGTTAGGGAATGACCTGGCCCATGAGTGCTTAGTGAATGTCAGCTCCTGCAGTTGGTACATGATCTCCTCTCAGAAAACCCCTGTGGGATGTGCCACCCCAGGACATCTTCCCCTTGTTTGTGCTCATGTGTGTGGCTGTCGATATGACCAGGCTTTTGACTCTGAAGTCAAGCAAACCATAGGTTCAGATCCTTGTTATACACTGTAAACAACTGGCTGGGCCTCCATGTGCCTCAGTTTCCTCATCTGTGAAATGGGCTAGCAACCCCTGTCTTGGAGGATAGTTACGAGGCCCAAGTGAGCCCCTGTGAAACAATGGGTCTGATACATCCTAGTACCTAAGTCAGAGCATGTTCTCTTCCATGCTTGGAGGAGTTGATTTTAAGCTGGTATTTCTAAAACCTTTTTTTTTTTTACTGCGAGCGATTGAAATAACATTTCATGTCTCAACCCAACACACCCCTTTATATAAAATTGAAACGCTGGTATTTTCTTTTTGGTCATATTCTGTCCTCTTTCCTGTTAAAAATGTTTCTTGTGACCCAACATGAGCCATAGCCTGCAGTGACAAGCGCTGCTGCAAGCTGCCGTGCTACGCTGGGCACCTGGCTAAGCTTGGACGGGCATATCAGGCACCAGGCACAAATCCCTTCTGCACCCCTCCCCCTCTGCTCCAGTTTCTGCCCCTCCTGGGCTGGCCAAAGGGCTCTGCTCTGAGATAGGGCCCCAAGCTGCCATCTGGGAGGGCTTGAGTCGGGCCCCGCTACTCTGGCCCCGCTACCTCTACCTAATGGTTCACGGGAGAGCCTCACACAGGAAGGGCCTCAGCTGGGGGGAAACAGGGCCCCTGCCTACCCAGGGTGACAAGCATTTGTAGCAGCCCTTGGTGAGATCCCATCCCTCCTCTCTGAGGCTCAGCCCTGGGTACCGTGCTCCACTCTGGCACATGTGAGATCAGCTCACCACTGTGGGGTCTGGCCTGGTGCTACAGAGGAAAGGGGACCTGAAACCCCCCCAGCCCCTGAGTGGTAGATCTGTGTGTGGAGCCCAGCTCTCCACCCAAGCTCTGGGGATAGTGACAACCCGCACTCACTCTGCCATTACCATGTGCCTGTGCTGCTCCTGTGCCTTGCAGTAGTAACACAGTCCTCACCACAGACCTCAGGGGAGGTGTTTCTAGCCCATTTTACAGATGAGGAGACTTAGGCATGGGAATGTTATAAAGCTTGCTCAGCCTCACAGCTGAAAGGTAGGGCTAGGACTCAAAGCTAAGGACTGTGTTAGGGCCACTGTGTTTATCATCTCCCTCCACCCTGAAGAGTCTTCCCTCATCCCACTTGGGCCCTTGAAGGCTCCACTCCTCCTCTACCTGTCAACACCCACAGTAAATGTCCCCATTTCAACTCTACGACTTGCCAGCTATGTGAGCCTGGAGAGTCACCCAGTCTCTGGTGTAATGTGAGGACATTCATCGTCCAGTCACTTGATTCCCAGAGATGTCTCAGGTCCCAGCACTTGGACCCCTGGGCCTCCATTTAGCCATGAGATGCCAAAGCTACTGGACTGCTCACCTCAAGGTGGAGCCCCTGCCCAGCCCAGCCTGCGTAATGGGCAGCCAGAGTGGTCGCACTGTGGTGGCCCACGCCTGTGGAAGTGTGGCGCTGAGCACATTTGGGGGTGTGTGCTGCTTTTTAATTACAATTTTACAGCAAAATGGGAGTCAGATGGCTCCTGAGCCCCAGAGGCTTCTCTGTGGGGTTCCCTGTATCACAGGTGTCAACCTCTGAAGCAGACAAAACACACTTTCCTTCTTGGAAAATGATGCTGTAACATGTAAATAAATGGATGCCCAGGCCGACCCTGTGAGTTACAGAAGCTCAGAGACGGTAATGACCCACCTAGGGTCACACAGTGGGTGTGTTGGTCCACAGAGAGCAGGGCAGCTGGTCTCTTCCAGGCCTCTGGGACCCTTGGCATCTCCCAGAAGTGGAAAGACAGAAAGGGAAGGGCGGGCTTACTCCTCCTGGGCCTCCTGTGGAAGATGATGGACCATCTAGAACATCCACTTGGGTGGCCATGGGGTTCCCTGTGGTTCCCAACATAAGATTTCAGTAATTCCTCCCATATCCCTGGTGGTAGACCTTTGCCTCGCATTAAAGACTTCTGGTTAAATAACTGGCTTTTGTTTCTTTTCCCTTTTCAGCCAAGGGATCCACTTCTTCTACAAGGTAAGGGCATCACTGAGTGGGGATGCTCTCACAGCTATTATTTGGTGTATGTCAGCTCCCAAACCACAGCACATTCATGTGCCCGTTGGCCATTCCTGTTTGTTCCCTTTGTAACCTGCTTGCACAGGCCTGTTAAGTTATTGCTGCAAATGAGTAGGTTTTAGTGCACAGTGAGTGGCACACATTGCTTGCCTGCTATCCACAGACAGCAAGGCCCTTATCTACTCCCATGTGGACAGTGAAGAAACTCACAGCCTTCCTGTGCTCACAGACATCCTGCATGTACCACATACTCATCCTCCCCAGACCCAAATCGTACACTGACTGCTTCCTTCTTTCAGTATGGGCGCAGCATGGCCTGGGCAATGTCAGTGTGGTGGATAAACCTTGGTCAGGAGCTCAAGTGGTGCCGTACACATAGGAATTTGTGTCTCAGCAAGAAAAGACATTAAGGCTGAGCCAAAGAGCACAAACACACAGGCACAAGCTTTGAGAAGGAAGAGAAAAATGGGAGAGGGACTTCAGCTTGAGGAGAAGAGCTGAAGGATACACAGCTCTGTTGGAGAAGGTCAGGCTGGCCTGTTAACAGGAAAGGGGACAGCTCGATTGGTGTGGTGAGCTGGGGTGTGATCATTATCTCAGGTCTGGTTCTACAGGGTGGTGCTGGAGAAATCCTTGTGGGTTGCAGGGGCAGTCTGGTTCCCATGAGATGATTCCTCCTGCTTGGGGTTGGGTGGGGCCCATCATGGGGTAGTCTGCGTGCCAAGGCTCTGCAGGTTTAGGGCAATGACTGGAGACTTCTAGGCATTGCTCCAGGGGTCTGGAAGAGGATATTATAAAAGCTGACAACTGAATGTCCCTGTCAATCTTGAAAATACTTTAGACTTACCATTGTGTCCTCAGTCTTGAAGGAGGATGAGATAAGTTAGGTAAATTAGAGCTAATAAACCCATTTTTAGACCTTCTCCTTAAGTGATTAACATGCTTAGGTGCAGAGCTGAGCAGAGATCTGACCCAAAGTTTAAGGTACTAAAGGAGGCAGATATAAAATGAAGGCAACTATGCCAAACTTTGCCCTGCTTTTCATTACCCATTTTGGATCAGCAGGCTTAAGTGAAATGTCAGTGCTTTTTAGCAAAAGCTCCCTTTAGTCCCTCACTGTCTCAAGGTGATGGCATTGTGTCACAGAGGGCACATTAGTCTGTTGATTCACATTTTCTGTAATGTGTTGCAGAGCCCTACTCTGTGCAGCTCAGCTCTGGGTGTGGGGACACAGCACTAAACACAACTGAGTGTAGGCCTTCATGGTCAGGACAATGAGTATGGAAGAAAAATGATCCAAAATGTCCTATCAGGTGGAGAGAACTCTAGCACATAGCAGATGGAGGCATATGGAGGGGGCTGCCTTAGGCAGAGGAAGGGGCTGCCTCTCGGGAGCTCATCTGAGTAGAGCTGTGACCATGAGCAGCGTGCTGGAGGAGAGAGCAGGCTTGGCCAAGGCCCTGGGGTACAATGTACAGTGTGGTTGGAGCAGAGGGAAAGGCAAATGTGCTGCAAACCTTTTAGTAAAAGACTTTCTCAGCTTTTAGGAAGCCTTCATATACAGTATTCATCCCAACAGAGTGAGGATGGCACTGCATAGTTTATCCAGTGAATGTAGGTGGCTGCATGTAAACATGGACATCTGTCCCAAAGGTGATAAATAAAATTGTAAACAGCCTCAGGTTACTTCAAGTCAGGTTTTGCCACCAAAGGAGTTGTATAAATCTTTCACTTTTTAGAGCTTTCTGGATTTCAGAGTTGCAGAGCGGAAACTGGGGATCTGGATTGGAGGGTCTAGGGCCTGTCACTGTTTGAAGGATTTTTACTCCCTAGAGGAGGATGAGCCATAGAAGGGATTGAGCAACCTTTTATTTTAAAGGTATCATCCTGGGCCAGGGATTTAGCTCATTGATTCCACCACCCGCCTCGAAAGCACAAGGTCCTGAGTTTGATACCCAGTACCAAAAAAAAAACACCTCAAGTGGAAACTGGGGTATAGGAAGTAATGGTGAAGGCTGCAGCTGGTGAGGTTCAAGCAAAGGATGGGAGTCTGGAGCAGGGTGATGAGAAATGGTCACATTCTGGGTATATTTTGAAGGCACTTGCTGATGGATTGGATGGAGAGTCGAGGACAATACCAAGACTGGGAGCGATGAGGTGGTATGTCCTGAGTTGGGGGTAGGCGAGCTGCAGGTGATAAGGAAACCACTAGCACTGAAGTTGCATGGAGCAGGACCATCTCACCTGCCCAGTGGGACTCTGGGAAGCTTCATTTGCTTCTTTTCTGCCAGCAACAGAGTTCCCAGTGCCCTTGAGATAAAGCCTGCTTTCTGCTTGGGACTCCATAGACAGTTTCCTGGGCTGAACTTTGCCCAACCTCCAGACCTCCTCTTCCCCAAACAAGCAGCACCCTCACTTCCTCCAGGGAACACTGTCCCCTTGACCCTTTACCTTTCACATTCCCACACTTGGTACCCACTTTTCCAGGGGAATCCTTTTTTGGAAAGTCCTTCATCCTTTGCTGGAAAATCTTCAGTGACTCCTCCACATACACATGCATACACCATGGCCCTCCAGATAAAGTCCTTATGGCCCAGCCTCTGCTGAGTTGGACATTTTCACTCCCACCCTTCCTGGGCCTTGCTCTAGCCATGCTGGGCCCCTCGTGCCACACTTGGGAACCTTGCTTTTCTGGCCCCTGCACCCTGGCCTCTTTCCTGGGATATGTCTCCCACAGGCACCACCCAGGATTCCCATAGTTCCAAGGGCAGCAGGCACAGTGGAATCTGAAAACCATAGCCCCTAGTTTTGTGTCCTTCCACCCAGTTACCTCCTGTTCTTTCTGAGTCAGTGAGGACATGACCTCCAGGGCCAGGGGCTTCCTGTGAGCCTATGCTGGTATGTTCGAGGTTTCTCTGCAGCCATCCTCATTTTATACCACCCTTCTTGGGGATAGGAACCATGTTCCTCATGTTCACAGCTAATAGCTCCTGATGTGGCACCATCCCTGGAATGGGTAGGGGCTCCACTGAGGTTTGTTAAAGGAGCCAGTGAACCAAGGGATGAACGCCATCCCTCACCACTGTTTACACTGAGTCCTGCCCTCTCTGCATCCCCAAAACTTCTTCCTCCTCTTCTTCTTTCTCTCTCCTGTTTTGTTTTTGTTGCTTTACTTACTCTTTATTTGTCTTACACAGTGAAGTTTTGGAAGAAAAGAACAGTGTCGATGTCAGTGACAATAATCACAATAGCAGTTGCTGCTACCATTTATTGAGTACTTACAGTGGACCCTCAAGTTACAACTGGCTTGACATACGGATAACTTGGCTTACGGTCTGAATTTTAGTTTTAACTTATGACCAAAGTCTTGTGTTATGATCAGAATGCCAGCCACTTGTGCTTCCAGATGGTCTCAGATACAAATTTAAGCCTTAAAGAGTTCCGAAAGGAACGTTACAACATCCTTTCCTATGGAGTTAATTGGGAAATCCTGGGCCAATGTCTTAAGGACACTGAGATCTGCCTGGAAGAAAGTGTGGCCTAAGACTATATGGGAGAGAGACTTAGAAGGCTGTGTAGAAGAGCCTGAGCCTTCAATTGACCAGCTTGAGTTACAACCAGTGCTCATGAACAAATTGAGTTTGTAAGTCAAGGGTCCACTGTACTATGCTTACTGACCTGGCCCTTCACACACATGATCCCATTAGTGATTTTTATTTTTACCTTGTAACTTATTACCATCCATCTTTCATAGGACCATGGGTCTTGCACTTGAGCATGTAGCAGAATCCCATAAGCGGCATCTTGCAGTCCCTGATTCAGAACCTGTATTTCCAGCGAGTTCTTGGGATGCTGGTGCTGCCACACTTGGGGAACCCTAATCATATTGTTGAGGCTACCAAGGCCTAGAGAAGTCCTAGGATATTCATGCCCAAGGCCTGCAGTTGGAGTGCTGGGATTAGACTCCCAGCCTTGACTTCCCACTGACGTGGTACTTTCCATCCTGGCTCCACTTTCCCCCTGCTGTCTTCCTTCTTCCCTAGAGGAGCAGATCATTTTTTGCCTGTTTCTCATTTCTCCAGCGTATGCTGCCCAGGGAGCCATGAGATCACTTGCTCCTTTCATCTCTCTCTAAACCAAAGTGATGGCTGCTGAGTGAGTGGCAATGGCCATTTCCCATTCGACAGCAGCAGGCTCAGCTTGCTAGGATCAGACGCTTTCCCCTCTGGGAGTGTGCGAGGGGGAGGTCGATGCTTTGAGCTCAAAGGGCCCTTCAGGCTGCAGGCCATGAGGCATGAGGCACCTACTCTAGTTATGTCTGTGGTTAGGAATATGCAGGCCCACGCTAGTCTGCATATCTCCAGCTCAGACAGGAGAGAGCTCCATCTCTAGTCCCTTAATTGGGCACTGGGGTTCATCCAGCAGGCCATTTATTCCCTTGTCAGACGTGCACTTCATTTATTCTCAGGCTTCCGTGATTCTCTCATTTATCCATCTGGATTGAGGCCAGCTTGGTGCCAGGCTTGAGCTGGGGGATCGAAAGGGAAACAGAAAAGATGCTAAGCCTGGTCCTCTACCACTTGAGATCTGATAGGGGAAGTGCTCATTCATTCATTCAGCAAATCTTTATGGCATGCTGAGCATGTGCCCACCCAGTGCTAGATGTTGTGGCTTCAGAAGTGAACAAAACAGGGTTCGTCCCTCCATGGAACTCACTATCCCTCTGAGTGGCTGCTTAGTGCGCAAGCCAGAAGCCTAATAAAGGATGTGTTGCAGGGCTGACAAGATAAAGAAAGGCAGGGAAGGAATGGAATAGAGGGTGGGGATGAGGGCAATAAGGTCTCTCTGAAGTGATTCTTAGAAGGCAGCTGAAGGATCAGCAGCTCTGCTTGGGGCTATCTGGGGCCAAAGTAGAGCAGACAGGGAACAGCCAGTTTCAAGGCCCTGAGGCAGGAGCACTTGGACAGGATCAGAGATGGGGAGGAGCCCAGAGTAGTTGGAGCAGAGGGAAGGAGGGAGGGAGAGAGGAAAGGGGTGTGGGGATGGAAATCCAGACCAGTGGGTGGCAGAGCATTGCTGGTTAGGGTGAGAGATGGATTTCACTACCGGATGTGGTGGTGGGGTGTGAGTGTTCTGAGCAGAAAAATAAGGTGACATCATCCATGCATTTTAAATGTGGAGAATGGAGGCAGGAGACACGCAACCTAGGGAGCTGGGATGTGGCAGATGAAGGAATGGCTGGATTGGATGTGTGGATTTTGGAAATGGGGCCAAGCATGCAGTGAATTAGACCAGGGACAAGAAGGAAGAGAGAAGAATCAGGGATGATTCCCACTTTAGCTTGAACCCAGGGTAAACCATAGCAGTGCCATTCGCTGAAGTAGAAAGACCTTCGGAGGGATGAAGCAGAAAGAAATGGATAACTGGTTAGTCAGAAATCAAGCTCTAAGAGAGGAACTCAGTATTAGAATAGAGCTTGAAGAAAGGGGGTCGGTGCAAAGGCTCTGAGGCAATTTGGCCAGCATTCATTCCAAGTCACTCATTGGGCGTCTGTGTACGTGTTGAGGCAGGATGAAAGACAGTGACACAAAGCAGAGTTGAAGATAGGCTAGGAGTTTTGAGATTGTCAGAGAGGAGGATTTGGCCCGTCCAGTGCTGATAGTGACGTCTTCCCAAGGAGCCCATAACATAGTGAAGTCTTGAAGGATACATGAAGGTTAACTAAGAAAAAGTGGCCATGGGGTTGTTTGAGGCATTTGTCAAAGTATGCAGTGCAGAAACAGTAGGTGGGCGGGTAAATGACTAAATGAGGGCAGGAGAGTGAGTGAGCCCAGGTGCCAGCACAACAGACCACATGGCGCTTCTGAGCAGGATGGCCAGGGAGACCTGAACCAGACAGGCATGGGGAGCTACAGAAGGCCTGGAAGCTGGTAGGGTGGGGACAGATCTGCACCCTTCCCCTCCAGCCTGTCTCCAATCCTGGAGGGCTATGTCTGTGGCCACGTGGGATTTGCTATGCCCCAGAACTGCCTTCTGAGCCAAGCACTCATGCCAGCTCCACTAATAACCCCGCTGCCATGCCCCGTTGCTCAGTGCTGACATTTCCCTGCCTGGCATCCCCAGAGTCACCGGCTTGGGAATTTATACAACTCCTGCCCAACCGGTGGCTCTGCTTGGCTCATCACCTTGACCATGACCCTCCAGCCAGCCAAGCCACAGCCTCCAATTACAGAATCAAGTGCATGAACAACTTTTTTGATTAACTGGGACATCTTGGTCTTTCTCTCTCTCTTTTTTTTAAACGGTAATACATAGATATTTATAATATAGAACATTTGGAAAATATGGAAACTAAAATGAAGAAAAATACCCCACAAAGACTACTGCTGTTAGCACTTTCCTTCCGGTTTTACCACACATTTTTCATCATCGAGATTATCCCACAGAGACTTGAGACTTGCCTTTCTGCTTATCATCTCAGTGTAATCATTTGTAACTTAAAACTGGCGTAAATTTTTGAAGTCTTAATCTATAGGTTTATCCTAATTTCCTAAACTGGTCCCAATTGGCAGAGACCCCAGGTATAACCCCAGCCCCCCATCCTGCTCAGGCCACATGTCTTCATACACAAAGATTCTATTTTGATTTGGTTTGATTTGGTTTGTTTGTTCTGCAGTACTGAAAATGGGACCCAGGGCCTTTGCTCTGTACTACATCCTCATCTCTTTTTTATTTTGAGGTAGTGTCTTACTAAGTTGTCCAGGCTAGATGTACACTACCATGCCCGGCTTCTGAAAGCATTATATATATTGAATGTGTGTGTGTGTGTGTGTGTGTGTGTGTGTTTGTATATATATTGAATTCCTCACAACAAAGTGCAGTTATGAGTCAATAGATTCTCTTGATTTTGTCAGCTGCTCCCTGAAAGGGTGGCACTGGCTTGTGTCTCCCAACAGCGGTGTTATGAAAGCACCAGTCATTGTCACCATAACCTCCCCAGACTACCTTCTCTGAGCATTACCATTTTTAAATTTCCTGGTCAATATAAGTTTGAAAAAAAAAGGACAAAACAACAACAAAACAGTACATTGTTTAAAAATCCTTGTTAGTGAGATGGGTCCCCTTGTCCAAACATTTGATAAGCAGTTGTATTTCTGTTGTGAATCATTCATCCGCATCCTCTATCCATATAGGAAGTGGAACCTAAATGTTATTCTTATCAATTTGCACGAGCACTTGAGATAGTGTGGATATTTTTATCTGTGTCTCTTTCCTTTTTAGGTTGCATGAGCCCGAGAAGAATGCCAGAGAAATCACACAGGTACAGTCCTTGGTGAGCTGCCCTGCCTGGGAAACTCAGGGCGTGATTTCCCTGCAGCAACCAGAGTTGCAGATCCGGTTCTAAATTAAGACTCTGTCCCCAGGGAGGAAGGCGGAGAGTGGAAAATCCATACATTGTTAGTTTCTTCCCTGTCCTCTGCTGATTCCTTCTCTGCTCCAGCTGAGAGGCTCTGGTGCAGCCAGAGCTTGTCTCATTGCTACCCATTACACAACTCCTTGTCTCATTGCTTCCCATTACACAACTCCAGAGGACACCATTCTTAATGTGTCCCATAGAGTCAAGCTGCGGCCTCTCCTAGTATGGATTGCTCCTTCCTGCCTCCTGGCATTTGCTCAAGCCAGTTTCTCTACCAGGAGCACACTGTCCACAGCTCATTCCCACCTTCTCTTTGCAGCCGCTGCTCCCTAGAATAGTTGCACAGCAGAACCTGTTCTTGCCTCTCTTGCCTCTGCTGATGGAAAGACCTTGTGTCATCAATTACCTCTCACCCAAGCGCCCTCCCTTGACATGGTGATTTCTCCTCAGTATTGCAGAGGAGACTTCACAGGCAACATAGCTGGCCTGTTTCTGAGAAACGGAGCCCTGCCTGTCATCAGCTGATGCTGTCAGACCTCGGAGGCACAGGGCTCCTCAGAGCCTGGTAATGAGACAGGCCCTGCTCTGACCCAGACTGAGAGAGCCAGCTGTCCTTGACATTCCCAGGCTATTGGCATCATTTTAGACATAATCTGTGAAGGGGCCAGGCTGCTGAGAGAGCAATGGGGCAGTGTTTATAGGCCAGACACCTCAGCCTGCCATCCTGACCTGCTACATCCCTGTGCACGGCCTTGGGTGGTAATTAGCAAATACAAAACAGTTTCCAGTCATGGCAGAGAAAAGCCTTCTCCCCAGTCACTTTTGGGGTTTCTTCTGGGGAGTCTTCTGGGGAAAGGGTGAGAATAGTGAGACACCTTGGTCACTAAAACCTGTAGAAATCTGCATTCAAAGATTACTGAGCTCCCACTAAGGGCAGGAGCAGCACAGTCATGACTGCTGGTGTTGGGCGGCAGGATTATGCCTCAGTTCCCAGTGACAGGACGGACTCCAAAGCTGTCCATGTGGACTTCCCAGATAGCAGTGCGTGAGCATCTGCAGGCTCAGGACATTGGAGCCATGGTGTGAGAAGACCACAACGCTGGGGTCAGCTGACTTTGGTTCTTTTCTAGCTGGGTGACTTTGTCTGCATGATCAAGCCTCCCTAGGTCTGGGTTCTTCATCTGTAAAATGGGCTCAATAATTCTTCCAGGCAGGGTTGTGGTGAAGCCTAAATGAAGTGATCTGTATGATTGGGAGGGGCTAGTGAGTCCTGATGAGCAGCTGCCATCATGTGGAGTGAAGGCTTGTGCTGGTGGTAGTGATGGCCTCGCTCGACTTCTAAGCACCGAGGCTGAGTGTAGGAGAAGCAGAGTTTGTAATCCATGGGTAAGATCAAGGCAATTTCCAGTGCGAAGATAAACGTGTGGGAGGTATTCAGGTTTGGCAAGTGGTTCATGATGATTGGGAACCTTTATTGAAAGTAAGTGTCACTTCATGCCAGATTCTGTCCTAAATGTTTACCTGGATGATTTCATTTGATCCTCACAGCAGCCCTGGTGATAGAAACTATGATTTTCCGTATTTAACAGAGGAGAAAACTGAGACTCAGAGAGATTTAGTGAATTGCCCAAAGTCCTTCTTGTAGAAAAGGCAGAACCAGGATTCAAACCCAGACCTTCTGATTCCAGAATCTTTACTACTCATCCATCCATCCATCCATCCATCCATTCATCCATTCAATTATCCATCCATCTAGCCAACCAGCCACCCATCTGTTCATCCCTTCAACAAGAATGGCACTTCTGTGCCAGCCTTGATGCCTGTATCATAATAAATGACCAGTGAATATTTGTGGAATAAACACAAGAATGAATGAGTGCCCTCACCCCATAGGAGACCACACCTGCTCAGGCCCCAAAGCAGATACAGTCCCTGGCAGTGGGTGCTATGAGGAGGAGCCCTGGGGCCAGCCAGTGGTGTGGAGGGGAGGGAGGGCAGGGAAGCATCTTTAGGATGGAGTGATATATGGACTGAGATGCACATGGTGGATTAGAATTCACTATAAGGAGAAAGAAGGGCAGACACTCTAAACAGAGAGAGAGATGTGGGAAGAGAGAGATGAGAACTGTGTGTGATTCCAGCTGAGAGGTGCTGCTGATGCAGGACTGTGAAGTGACCACACTAGCATTTCAGAAAGGCTCATCAGGAGGAAGTAAGGCTGGAGCCAGTTAACTCTGACAAGACAAGAGGGAGCCTGATCTGGGGCTGAGCCCATGGGGCCAGGACCATCCAGACTTGGTACCCAATTGATGGGTGAGCAGATTGAGAGTTCCAGAATGGCTTTCTGTCCATCTCTTTTAGATCCAGGACACAAATGACATCAATGACATCACATATGCAGACCTGAATCTGCCCAAAGACAAGAAGCCTGCTCCCAGGGCTGCCGAGTCCAACAACCACACGGAGTATGCCAGCATTCAGACAGGCCCACCGCCCCGGCCAGAGGACACCCTCACCTACGCTGACCTGGACATGGTCCACCTCAACCGGGCGCCCAAACAGTCGGCCCCCAAACCTGAGCCGTCCTTCTCAGAGTATGCCAGCGTCCAGGTCCAAAGGAAGTGAGTGGGACTGCTCGGCCTTGGGCCTGTCCTCACGAGCTTTCTTGTCCCACATGGAAGGGCCATGGTGAGGACAGTCAGCCAGTTCTCGACAACCAGGTGGCGCAGGCCCTGGGACCAGGAGCGAGGGTGGCTCTTATCTGCCATCCCCCTTGGCTCTCCAGCTTGTCCAGGACAGCCCTGCGCCCTGACTCTGACCCACATCTGGAGACTGATGTGGCTGAACCAGCGGGGTTAAGTCACCGGGGAGCTGACCAGAGCCACCTGGGGTCCAAGAACTGTTGTGCCTTTGGTCATCAGGCACCAGTCTGGTCGTGGTCTTGGAGACCCTGGGCTATCTCCTCGATGCTCTGGAGCCTGATCTTCTAGGTTGAGGAGGAGAAGATCCCACCTCCTCCTGCCTCCACCACCCACTTGGGGCTTTAGGAAAATCTTTCCTTTATATCGAACTGCTCCATCCATGGGAGAACCTGGAAAAACTGAGACCCAGACCCCAAAACTTGGTGAGGCTGCTGCCAACAGTCCTGGCCTCCCTTCTACCTTGGGCCCCTCTGTGACTCCCAGGGCACTGATCAGGCTGATAGGGGTGCTCTTAGTGGCCCCACCTCTCCTTTCCAGACCCAAGCTTGCTTCCTCCAGCTAGCACTAACTCAGCAGCATCGCCCTGTGGACGCCTGTAAATTATCGAGAAATGTGAACCGTGCAATCTTGAAGCCAAGGTGTTAGAAAACTTGATCTGTGGTGTTTTGTTTTGTTTTGTTTTTTCTTAAAACAACAGCAATGTTGTCTTGGCTCTTTGTCATGTGTTGAAATTCATGGTTGGGTCTTGTGAAGTCTGAGGTTTTAACAGTTTGTTGTCCTGGAGGGATTTTCTTGCAACAGAAGCTGAGTTTCCTCCAGGGCCCAGAGCCCTGAGGATGAGGAAGAAAAGTCCGTTCAGCTGCTCAGCAGGGACATTGAGCCTTCTCTCTGGGACTCAACTCAGCCTTCTCTATGGGCCCAGCCATACGGCAGGGTACTGTGCTAAGTGCCACCTGCCCAGTGCTTCTCCATGCCACAACCTCGTCCAGATCTGATGCCTCAGACTGCTTTCCATAAAGAGGGGAGAGGGACAATGACATCCTCCCCACCATCTCACAAGCACTTTAGGGACATGCAGAGGGGAGGGACACTGAGCTGGGCCATTTGCCCCACCCCTTTAGCCATCGCCCCCTTCCAGCTCTCTGAGCTGATCTTCTCTTTCTGCTCTCAAACCCCATTGGATGAAACTGGAATAGATCCCAGTCTAAGCCAGGATAGCTCAGCTGTGAGCCAGGGCTGATCCACCCTCTGTCCCTCTGTGACCACATCACCTTCTGACTCCTGCCCTTCCAGTTGGGTGCAAGGGCCTGCCTGGGCCCTGGGCCAGGCAGTGTTGCAACTCTGGTTATTGGTTCTTCACACATAACTGAGTCAAGACACCAATGTCCATGACCCTGGGCTGTAGGATGCCCAGGGAATTCCCAACCCCAGGCTGTCAGAGCAAGAAGCTGAGCCATCCTGCCTGTTTCCACAGGTTCAGTGGGGGAACTTCAAGAGCCCAGCAGAGACCAGCTCTCTGGGGTCAGTGACTTGTTGTACATGATGGCATGCAGGAGCGAGCTGAGCCAACAGGCCATGTGGGCAGCACTGGCTGAACAAGGCAGGGCTCCTCAATGGCATCTGGGAGCTACAGTGCCCCAGCCACCTGCCCAAGCTGTTTCCCAGTTTTGAAGGATTGGCTTGTAAACCTTCATCTCCCTCTCTTCTGATCAGAGACAGCACATGCGTGCATGTGTGCGTGCGTGTGTGCATGTGTGTGTGTGTGTGCGCATGCGCGCACACGCACACAGGATTTTAAAAGAATGTTTTCTTGGTGCCATTTTAATTTTGTTTTATTTTAACTTGGTAAAGAGATAAGGGAGTAAGGCCAGTGAGGCAGGCATGTGTGGCTTTAGCTTTGGCCGGGCAGCCTGGAGTGTCCCCATGCCATGTGTATGGAGCCCTAGGAAATGGAAGAGGTTGAAACAACCCTGCGGAAGGAGCATGGTTTGGGGAGTTTATTTTCAGATTGTTGGGAAGGAAACAGGCCCCATTTTGTATATAGTTGCAACTTAAACTTTTTGGCTTGCAAAATATTTTTGTAATAAAGATTTCTGGGTAACAATGACATCTTGGGCGTTCTGTGTCCTTCCTTGTCATTGGGATTTTTGTCCTAGTGCCTCTTTAGAGGCTGCTGTCTGCCTGTCCTAGGAACCTAGGTGAGGATTGAATGTGGGCCCAGGCTTGGTATCAGTCTGCAGTGTTTGATCCAATCCTCGGTCTTATAGACATAAACCCTTTGTTTCTCCCAGCTGGAGGGAGGCTGTGTAAGCTTGAGACAGACATCCAGACAGACCACTGGTCTGAATCCTGGCTCTGCCGTGTCATAGCTGTGGGAATTTGGACATCTTACCTCCCTGAGACTCAGGCTGCCCATCTGCACAATGGGGGCAGCTCAGCCCCTGCTAGGGTTCCTGAGAGCATTAAAGGAGGTAACCAGCACTGAGCCCTGTGCATGTCACATGGTGGGCCCTTGCTGAGCCCTAACCCTGCAGGCCCCTCAATCCTGGTGGGTTCTTGGGCAAGTGGCTCAGCCAGGCCCCAGCCTCACTTTGACCAAGTGCAGGTCTAGTGCTTGCCTGACAATAAACTTGCCAGAAGACTATGGCAAGTGCTGATTATATAGTAGGTGCTCAATAAATGTTAGTTTCCTTATCCTCCTTCTATTAGAATATCATTGATAATAATAGTAATGAAATAATATATTAATATAGAATTCATACCAGTGCTTACTATGCATAGCATTTTACATTGAGACTGTTAAACCTTATAATTCAATGAAGTCAATACTGTCATTGACCCCATTTGGTAGACCAGCCTCAGAGAGGTGGTATAACTTATACAAGGTCACACAGCTAATGGGTGATGTGGTATGGCTGAGCTTCAAATTCCAACTGCCTGACTTTGGTACCAGATGCCTGACCACGGGGTTAATGATTAATGCATCTCACATAAGAACTGGCTGCAGAATCAACAATAGCTGATAAGAGCTATGATGGGTAATGTGCCCAGTACTCTGCAGTTATTAACTCCTTTCATCCTCCCAACCACCATGTACACTAGGAACTCATTCTCCATGTTTTATAGATGAGGAAATAAAAAAGTCATTTCCTCAGGTTGGAAACCGGGACCTGACTCTTCCCCAGCACATTGTACTGACAGCTTCCATCACTGCTGGATAGCTGTGGTTGTGTCCATTTTGCAGAAAGGAACATTGAGGCTTTGGAAATGCACAGTGAATCCTTAGGCAGGCTAGGACTTCTATTCAATCCACTGGGAATCACCCCCCACCCTGGTCCATGTGATCAGGATCACCAGAGCCATGGAGGCTCCTGTGGGGCTCAGGTCACTGTCTCAGGCCAGGATATTGGTTGTGCCCAAGAACTCAGCCCTCTGCCAATGCTCAGCGCTTGCTTCCCTCGGGGTCTAGGCTATGAAGTATATGTACTGTTTCTAGGGTTGAGATGTTCAAGGCATGAATCCAGGCCAAGGGGGCAGGGAAGCGCCGTGCATTTCCTGGGAAGGGATGATGGACTGCATGTCCAGGCAAAGAGACTTGGGGATATCTTTTATTCAGCACCTGGGCCTAGCTTCTCCACAGTCCAAATCTCCAGGGCTGGAGGCTGGCAGGTGGGGCAAAGTGGATGGGTGCCAAGTGGTGCTTTTCCTGCCCACCAGGAAATCAGTCAAGCATTTGGCATTTATCGGGCACCTCCTCAGAGCAGAGAAGGATGCTCAGGCTCCCTCCCTCAGTGAGGACCAGCCCCAAGGCCCTTGCTTTCTGCCTTCCAGAGTCCTTGTCCACTTTACACATATGCTTGGGAAAATCTCTCCCACAGAGAACATCCGACTGCAAAGACTTCTGTGTCCTCCAGTGTGTTCCCAAAAGCCAAGATTGGACCCACATTTATTTCATTTAATTTTTATATAAGCACATACTATATACCACACACTCTCCTAAACTCAGTACAAATATTAACTAATTCAATATCAATTCCCTCCATCCTCTTAACCTAGGAGATATGTACTGTGATTGCCACCATTTAATAAGAATTTTGAGACATAGATTAAGCACCTTGTCAAAAGCCTCCATCTGGGAAGCAATGCCACTGGATATGTGTGATAGGGGTCTGGAGGCTGCCAGAGAAATAACGGTCACACTCAGTGCTCCATGTGCACAGGACTCTGTGGGAAGACGGAATTCCACAGGGTCTCACCACTGAAGCTTCAGAGTGTCAGCCTGGTAACAGGCAGTCGAGTTACCCTGAGGCGCTCCTGTCACTGCTGGCGTCCCTAGTGCCTCCTGTCACCATCACACTGTGTTGGCCCAGAGTCTTGGCTTATTTTCCAAACACAAGATTATGACATTAAAAATTCTTTTGTGCAAAACCTTGGTGACAGAGGTCAAAGAGTGGCTACCCTTGGAAAGAGTTCCAGAAAGCCTGAGGGAGCAGATGCTCTGAGTGCGTGCCCCTAGGACAGTCCCTTGGGGTTCACACATGCAAAACCTCCTCAGGCTGCACAATTACCTTGTCCAAGTTATACCTCAAATTTCTTAAATGGCGGCTGCCCCATCCCCTCCCCCAATTTTTGATGTCTGTTCCTACCTGACGATTTCTTTAAAACAGTGTTAATGCCTTATCTTTCATCCCCAAACCCAGCCCAGGATCTGGTGCAGGTGAGAGGCCCAAGGAGTCTTGTTGAGTTAAATTGAAAGACAGCATCCCAGTGACCAAAATAGCACCTGAAACAGTGAAAGAAAAAGTGCCCAGCTGGGCAGGAAGAGCAAGGACAGCTACAAGGACAACTATTTATCTGTCATCCCTTCATCTGAGACCCCCTTCACTACTTGTCCTTCCACACACCCTATGCCCTCACCCCTCCTCCCTCCACCATGGCTGCCCACAGAGTCTTTGCCCTGCAACCTTGGGCAAATGGCCTCACCACCAAGCCTCAGTTTTCGCACCTGTGAAATGGGGACAGTAGCGGCCTGTACCTGTGGGGCCTAGTGAGGACTAAATGAAAAGAGGCTTCATACCCTCTGCAACAGTGGGGCACTGACGATGCTCACTGCACACATACAAGTGTGTGTACACACATTCACATAGCTATCTTCACATTGATACACATCTGCTCACACTCATTCATACACAGTCACGTTGACATTCCCTCACATCTGCACACCTATGCACACTCACATATTCACATTCACACAGCAAGGCCAGGTTATTAGAGAAACTCTACAGCACTGCGTCTCCTGTCCGCGCTGAAATAACTTCATCAAGTCCTTCCCTCTCTCATTTGCCTGAAATGGCTCCCTCCCACCAATTTTGGGGGCCAACACCCCCCCTAGTTTTTGGGTCTTCTCCCCTACACCTCTGCTTAACATTTTAAAGGACATTTCCTATTCCTCTCCAGCTACAGTGGAACTCTCTGCCATGGCTTTCTGTCTCACCAAATACCAATGGAATCTGCCCTGACTCTGCAGTGAGCCATGCCCTCTGTGACTTGTGTACCCCCACCAGACCATAAGCCCCAGAACTTCATGTCCTATCTGGGATCCAGCCCCCAGGCTAAGAAAGGCTATACCCACAACATGCCAGATAGGATCCTGGCCTCTTGAAGTATTTATTTATTTATTTATTTATTTATTTATTTATTTTGGTACAGGGGATCGAACTCGGGTCCTTGTGCTTGCAGAGCAGGCGGCGGAACCACTGAGCTAAATCTCCAGCCCTAAATCTTTATTTCACAGACACCCTTTGCAGACTGGTGCTATGACTTCCATTTCACAGATAAGAAAGTTGAAAACCCCAGAGGTGATGAAATAAGCTTAAGATCATTCATTTAACTAATAACAATTTCTCAAGCTCGTACTGGAAACCTGACCCTGTACAACATTCTGAGAATGGGGTGTGGGCAAAAGATGGGTCACATCCATATGAATGAGCTCATGGGGAATGAGGAAGCAGGGACAGCTGGCCATCCCAGGACAGAGAGGAGAGCTGTTCAAAGAGGGTGTCCAACATGCGGCACAAGCTCATGAGTAAGGCAACCAGTAGGTGGGCAGCACCAGTTCTAAGGCCAAGCAGGTCTACAGGCTTTCCAAAAAGGATTGTGGGAATAAAAGGTCTAGGTTAGATACAGAAACTAGCTAAGGTCCTACAAGGTGATAAAACCATACCTTTGGAGTGATCTGTTTTCCCAGATGAAAGTCATTTGTGCCTAAATCTACAAATTAGCATGTATGACAGCTTTGTAAAATCTGGGCCCTGACTAAAGACAGACTCCAGTATATCCCTTGACAGAATGAACTAATCTTAATGGATCTTTTTAAATAATGCCCCAATATGGCAGCCAAAGGTAATATCACCTTCTTTTGCCTTGTTCCCTGAGACACAGAGGGTGAGGATAAGCCTGATGGTGCAAAGAAGCTGCTGCCTTCCAGAGACCAATCCCCTGCCAAGCTCTGCAGCCCCATCCTTCGTGACTCTCTCCATCACCTTCTGCACTGGCAACTCCAGCCTCCTGACAGCTTCTAGTATGAGCCACAGGGCCCTTGCACAAGTTGATCCCTCTGCCTGGAACACTTGCTGGGTCTTGCTTGCTTGCCCTCCAACCTAGAGACTAGGCCAAATTTGTCTGTTAGACACTACCATGGTAAAGTAATCATGTCCAGTGCATCTCCTTTGGAGCCCTTGTCACAATTTGTAATTATACATTGACCTTGTATTGCTTAATATTCTTCTCTATTGTCCTAGGAGCTGCCTCAATGTAAGGAGGACGCTGGCTCTACTATCCTTTTGAGTCTCATGTCCAATGCATAGGAGACACCCAGCAAATAGCTGTTGGAGGAAAGAGTAGATAGATGGAAGGACAGGAATATGAGTGGATGAGTGGACAGATTGATGGATCCATGCGAGGACAGATGGATGGATGGAGGGATGGATGGGTGGATGGATGATAGATGGATAAGAAAGAAGAAAAGAAAGCAAAGGGGAAAAAGAAGGGCATAAAAGTGGGAGACTGCTTTGGATCTTAGGACAACTGAGAGCCAGGCAGGAGGTTTA